CTTGAGCTGCTTCCTACACTTGCTGCCAGACCTCTGGTAGTTTTCCCACCCTTTTGAGATCTCACAAGACCCTGTCCCAAAGGAAAGAGGTGGCCCCATTCCTGATGCAGTCTTGCCTACAAGAAGCTCACTGAGCTCAGAGGAGTGTTCTTACCGTTTGTGGCCAAGAGGAAGAAAAGAGAGAGATTTTGCCTCTTGGTAACTCTTATATGCACATTAGGTTCTGGCTTAGCTGCCAGTTAAAATTCATTTGCCTTCATATAGTAAGCCAAAAGGAAACAGTCATAAAATATCTGCACATGCTCTGAGGTGGAGGGTAGGGGCCTCCATTCCATTTTTCTGGAAGCAGGCTCTTCAAGCCACCACTGGGGTTACTATCAAGCAGAACATTCTCTAAAGGCAGGATTCCCATGGGCTAGTTCCCCATTATAGAGAAAATAAAGACCTCTTAAAAATCCTGGAGGTTTCCAGCCTCCATTTAAGCTAATGATAGAGGGAGAGAGCCAGATGGTTATAGAGCCCCAGCTGCTATCACTTTCCTGGTTTATAGTCCCACTCTCCTATTCTTCATTCAATGACACTGGCCTCCTTGCTGTTTCCTGAACGAGACATTCTACCTCCAGATTCCGGGCATTTTCACTAGCTGCCCCACATACATGGAATACTTTCCCTCCTCACATCCACTTTTTGGCTTCCCTTTCTTCTTCAAGTCCCATCTTTTAAAGGATGCCTTTCTTAATTCTAGTGCTTTCCCTCTGAAGATTATCTCCAATTTATTCTCTATATAGCTTGTTTGTATATGGTTGCTTGCATGTTATCTTCCTTTTCCAGCTCTTTACAAGCATGGACTGTTTTTTACATTTCTTTGTATCTCCAGCACATAGCCTAGGCTTTGGCTACTAACATAGTAGAAGCTCAGTAAATGCTTGTTCCTTCCCCTTCCCTCCTCTTTCTAACTGGATACTGTAACTTGTGCCATGAATGGGGTTGATGAGAAGAGTCACGCCATATAAATAAATGGGGGGGGGTCATTTGATTGGCAAAGAGTTGAAGAATCAGGGAAGAGAACAAAAGCTAGAACTCTGATTTCAAAGGAAAATCTGAACTTATAAAATCCAATTTATAAAAAAAAAAGTACACAATAAAATCCATTACTTTGTGTTTCAAATAAAGAACCAAGTTCCTTGGCGGGGGGGGGGGGGGTGAAGGAAACGTCAGTAAAAAACAAAAGTATAAAGTTCTATAGATGTTTAAAATAGAAAATGCCTCCTGCTATGGGGAGTAATAAGATTTAAGAAGCAGTGGACAGCTGGGAAAGAACACTATTATGAGAGTTAGGAGAGAGGGAGGAGAGAGAGAGACAGAGAGACAGAGAGAGACAGAGAGAGAGACAGACAGAGAGAGAGAGAATATGAATCTAAAGCAAAAAGGTAAACAAGATGTTTATTGGGCATTTATGTATTGTCAAATGGTATAGAAAGTTCCCCAACTTCTATTCCTTGCTTCTTAGTAATTTGTAGTCCCACTGACCCTGCAGTTTTACCTTCATATCTTTCTTAAGCCCTGCTACATTTTTCACTCTAAGTGTGTCGGGTTTCAGTTTCATCATTGGTAACAACTGTGTCATCTTACTGAAACAAAATGACAGAGGAAGAATAAGAGGAACAGGGTGGAAAGGCAGGCGTAATATTAATTTTGGCAAACAGCTAGGGAACCTGAAGCTTTTAAAAAAATTCCACTGGATCACTTAGATGTTTACTAATCATTGAGGATATGTGCTATAACTAGCATCAAGCTTATTTATTGTTTCACCTGCTTAATTGTTTTTAAATACATATAACAGCAACATGAAACAGCATGGCATAGTAAATGGAAGGCCAGTTAGACTCAGGAACACTTGGGTTTAGGTCTTGTCTCTAATGCATACTAGTTAGCAATGGGCAACTTTCTAAGACTTGATAAGTTACCAATGAAATGTGCATCTGCATTGGTAGAAGGTGTTTCTATGCTGAGAGCTTCCTATCCTAATAAGATCTTGAGGATCATAATTTGCCAAATGCATCTATTGACTTGAAAGAGTTGTTAGACTGATAGATGTGTGTAATTTACATCTCTGGAATCAATTTTCCTTCCATAAAAAGGATATGGTAAAGTGGTGTAGCAAATAAAGGGCTAGCCTTGGGATTGGGAAGACCTAGTCTTGACTTTGACTGGCTAGGTGACCTTTTGCAACTTAGGGTAAATCATTTAGTTTCCCAGGGCCCCACACAACTCTCTAAGAAAGTAAATTACAGAAGAATTGTCCATCTATATCAGTGTTGGGAGTTTCTGTACTAAAAAATCCCAGGTCTGAAAAAAAATAAAAATAAAAACATTTGAGGAGAGTTTGAGGAAACAAAAACAGGCTGTAGACATCACTGGTTTGAGAAAAGTGAGTTGCCTCTGGTTGGTTGGAACAGTGAACAGAGTTCTGTTCCTTCATCTACCATGGGATGATCTTTAGTGTTCCTTAGGCAGTAAGAACAGCCATGTTATCCCCATCTCTATGGGCTGCAAGGTAATCAGAAGCAGCTGGACCTCCTTAAGAATCCCTAGCCTGCAAAGCATAATGCACCTAGTTCCAAGGGCCCAGAAAGGGAGCTTGAGTGGCTGAAGTTCCTAACTTAAGTTATATTGTTTTATTTTACAAACAATTGTTTTAAATCAAAACCTAAATTAGGTTCTGGCTTGAGGCCCAGCTCTGAAAGAAATTTACAGGAAGAATGATATTTGTTCTTATCCTGGGACCATTTGAAGGACAGGGTCTGAATGAAGCAGGATTTGGAACGGGTCAGCTGGTTTGGATGCACAATTAGTCCACCTTGAAGACTACAGATGATCCTTTAAAACAAATCTCAGACCTATGAATTCATCTCTTAAAGATATTTCAGCATTTCTGGGGCTCACAGTGGATATGTTTGTCTTTTGTTAGGGCAGCCATTGCATTTCTTCATTATCTGAGGGTACATTTTTTCCCACTATTGCACAGAAGTTTATATATGCCCTGAGTGTTTGTGTTTGAGTTATTAATCATTCATTGACAGTAGAAAATCAGATTGCTTGGCTAGCTGAGCATTCTTTTTAAGAAACCAGATGTTGCTAAGTGTGATGGTTATATGGTTATATGGGGTGGGCAACTTTGCTAATTAATATGTAAAATAGATGTGTGTGATTTATAATAGAAAATGTAATTCATCTGTTGGTACTAAATAATATAAAAGAACAATTGTTTACACAATGATTTGCATAATGCATACACAACTCCTAATTTTGCATTCTCATTGGAATGGGAGAATTCTGTTCTTGTTTGTTGTTGGACTTTGGCCAAATGACTTATCCTCTTTTCATTTCTTAGAGATCTCCATTTTTTCCTTATTTGAAAAGGGGTTGACAACTATTTCAATGAACTGTTTCTCTGAGCTTATTCTAATAAGGTTCTACCTATTACATATTGCATCTACTCTCTGTAGCCTTTCTCATAATTGTAGTACAATTAATTCTATACATTGGCATTCTGAAGAAGTCTAAAAAGTCCCTACCTCTCCACTTGTGGAGGACAGAAAAATCTGTCCCTTTAAAAGCCAAAGCTGAAGGAAAATAGTGCAGATGAACCACTTATATTGGATTTGTTTACAACAAAGCATCTCTGCAATGAGAAAACATTTAGTATAATGCCCAAATGTTTTTAAATCCACAGTTTTGAGGTTACTGGTCATTTATTCTCAATAATCTCAAATAGGCAAGCCACATATATGTGGCTTGAATCTACTGTAGGTCTACATATTAACTTGAATCACTAGAAATCTCAGGGAAAAAATGAAGTTTCACTCATTTTAGCAAGTTGGGGGCAAAGTTTGGAATTTGGTAGAGAATCTGATTAATATATTTCCTTCAGCAGTTCAAGAGATGAGTGATTTAATTAAAGTAAGTACTCCCTTCACCAACAGAGACTACAGCTCCTCCATTCCTCAGATAGTTTCATGAGTTGGGTGGTTAAAAAATAAAAACATACAGTAAGATCATCAGCTGATGTCTGACTTTCAATAATGAGTTTCTCTGTATAGTAGTTTTTCCTCAGATGACAGGCATAATCTGTAACTGGGCCATATTCAAAAAATCTCCTTAGAACTTCTGAAATATAGGCATGGTCCTTGAGAACCCAGGTTCACCTTCGCACCATGTTAAAGTGTCAGAGCAGGATTTCAGTGGACAATACAAACAGATACTGAAATATGACAGCACCTCATTTAACCTTGCATTTATTTAGTGTATCATTCCCATAGAGAGCATCAATGGGGCCAAGACTCACACTGATCAAATCATAGCCATCCAAGTATCATAGAATCATACATTTAGACATATCAGGGACCTTAGATATCACCTAGCTCTGGGGTCCTTAACCTAGAGTCCAGAGACTCCTTGAGGCTCCATGGATAGATTTCAGGGGATATGAACTTGGATGGGGAAAAAAATTGCATCTTTATTAGCATTTCCTTTAATTACTTAAAATCATGCTAAGAAAGGGTCTATAGGCTGCCAAAGAGGTCCACGACATAAAATATGATTAAGAAACCCTGCTCTAATCCATCCCCTTCATTTTATAGAGAACATAAGTGATACACATATGACTAGAATAAGAGGACAAGATATGCTGTCAGGACTAATGCAACACTAATGCTGAGACAATATCTCGAGGTACAAATATTGCTTGCATAATAGCTAACCTAATTATTCTTTGCTTTCCCCTAATTTCTACTTGAGACCATTCTAGTGATCTAGAATCAAGTGAGCTTTTGTTAATTAGATTTTTGTAAACAAGATGTTATAATCTTTCATTCTTTTCTGTTTTTAGTCCTCTAAAATAAGATTTGGCTGAACATTTAAGTTGTTCACTTTTTTCTCTTATTTTCCTTTCCTCTTAGGTTACTTTGTGACTATCCAGATGAAGTGAAGCATCTTACCCCATGATCCATTTCCTTTTGCCCCAGTCTCAGACCTCCAGTGGAAGAGAGACCCTGGCTCAACTATAGTGGAAAAAATTCTTATGGTTGCTCTGTGGCATAAAACACAGTGTTCTTGGCAGGGTTGAGATCAAGCACTCTCATGATTGATGAGGGGAGTGCTTTTCCCTTAGAAAACATCTTAGCAACGTTCTTCTCCAAACCCTAGTTTGAGCTTGCCCTGGAATCATAATACCGAATTTGTGATACCACAGTTGCTTTCCTGGCAGTAGACTATGGTACTATTGACAGAAGACACAGACTTCATTGTAGGATCAAACAGAGGGAGAATAAAGGGTCTGAGAGAAAGAGAAAGGTCTTAATCAAGTAGAGTAGCCTCAATGAGAGTACAAAAAAAAGGAGGAAAAAAAGTTGAATGTTCTCAAGTTTGTCTTGGTTTCAATCCTCTTCATCAAAACTCCAGCTCAACAATGAAAAAGGCTAAATTTACAGATTTAGGTAATAGTTTGTTTGATAAATGGTATGCTTTTGTAATGAAAATCTGTCTAACCTGTGAGAGGCTTCTTAAGCCATGACCTAGGGCTGAATTTTAAATCTTGTGTCTCAATCACTTTTTGAGAACCTTTACTTTTTTCTTCTGTTGAGAGTCAGTAACCCATGGTAAAAATACCAGGCTGCATAAATTATTTTTCTTCAAAACCCACAAAAACATTAGGTTTCTTTAAGGGAGAAAAAAAAGTCTCACTCATTTACTTTTAAAATGTCAATGAACAAAAAAACAAAACAACCTACTTCACATTTATATTTATTATAGCTAGTTGAAACATGTAGAAGGAGGAGAAAGCATTTCCCCTTATTAGTATCATGTAATAGGACTTTTAATAAAATGAGAAGAGACATGCAAAGAGTCACAAAAGGAAACATGGGTATATCTCTTTGCGCCCCAAAAAAACAGCAAAGAAGAGAAATTTTGAAATAAAGGTAGAGGCTAGAACACAAAGAACTACAAAGACAAATGGGGGGGGGGAGAATAGAAAACAGCCTGTTGCTGAAGGAAGAGAGTTGAACTTCTACTCGCAGAAGTTGAATGTGGCTCTGCCACTGACTACCCATGTGACCCTTGGTCAAGTCAGTTAACTTTCTGGGCCTTAGTTTCCTTATTGATAATGTCTAAGTTCCCTTCTGGACCTATGATCCTATAATCACCATCTTGTGGCCTTTCCAGGCATTCCTGCTGAAAACTTACAACTGTGTAGCATTTTCCCAACAATGGGCACAGATAAGGATTTTGATTCTTGGTACCTGCCTTGAGAGCTGGATGAAACGAAGCTGAGAACTGATGGTTCCCCATCCTTCATATAACTCAGAGATTCTTAACCTCTTTTTGTGTAACAGTCCCCTCTGGCAGGCTGCTGAAGCTTTTGAATTTTGCAGAATGTTTTTAAATGCATAAAACAAAATATATAAGATCTAGAGGAAACCAATTATATGGATTAAAGAAATAAAAACAACAAAGCTCATGGACCCCAGGTTAAGAACGCCTATCTAAATGCTGCCAGAGAGTTGAATATCAAGAAATAATCAGAAGTCTGTATTCCAAAGAGATCATACAAATGGGAAAAAGACCCACATGTACAAAAATATTTATAGCAGCTCTTTTTGTGGTGCAAAGAATTGGAAATTGAGGGGATGTCCATCAGTTGGGGAATAGCTGAACAAGTTGTGATCATGTTGGAATACTATTGTGCTATAAGAAATGATGAGAAGGCAGACTTCAGAAAAACCTGGAAAGACTTACATGAATTGATGCTGAGTGAAGAGAGCAGAACCAGGAGAACATTGTACATAGAAACAGCCACATTGTGCGATGACTAACTTTGACAGATTTATCTCTTCTTAGCAATGCAAGGATCTAAGACAACTACAAAAGACTCATGATAGAAAATGCTATCCATATCCAGAAAAAGAACTATGGCATCTGAATGCAGATTGAAGCATATTATTTGCTCTCTTTTTTTTTTGTTTCTTCTTTCTCATGGTTTATTCTTTGGTTCTAATTCTTCTTTACAACATGACTAATGTGAAAATAGGTTCAAGATGAATGTATTTGTTGAACCTATATCAATTTAGATGCCATCTTGGGATGGGAGGAGGGGAGAAATGGGGAGAAAATTTGGAATTTAAAATCTTATGGAAGTGAATGTTGGAAACGAAAAATAAATACATTATTTTTTAAAAAAGAAATAATCATATGACTGCATTTTAAAGTTTTTATCTTAGTATTGGGCATAATTTAGACTTGAATTTTTCAACATGCTTTATATGTTAAAATTGAGATGAGTGACACAATGATTACATCTAAGTGTTTTAAAAGTGAAATTTAAGTATAATACAGGCTTTACTTTTTCAATAAAGTCTTGAAATTCACAATGACTAGACAGCTCACTGAAAAGTGAAAAATTCAATCAACCAACTTATTTGTCTATTAAATGATGCCAAACAACTGGCTTGATTTTTCTTCTCTACCACACTGACTGATTCTTTCGGTCTCATGTATTAGTTAATGCATGCTATTATTTTTGTGTGTGTGGAAACCACTGTAATTCATATGTGTGGACTGATTTATGTCTCTACTGATTATGCTCAAGTGTGAAATGCACCACTGGGGATTATGTTTCAGCATAACCATTAAAGACACTGAAGGGGAAATATTCATAATGTCTAATAAGTGAAGCCATCAAGATGTCAGCATGAAAAAAGTATGTTAACACTGCCTGTTTTGTTCTAACAGAGTCTATGACATAAGCAATCAGCACTTGAAAATCTTCAATTAGCAATATGGGAGCAATGGTAAAAATTTAGTGTAAAGTGTAGATCTCTGAAAAGGTCCTGTGGTCTAGAACAGTGTCATTAAATCTCTGTTATGCAAATATAATTTCTCATTCAAAGATGCTAGTTTAGTTATTTATTGTAGGATGCCAGCAAATGAAATAACGAGAAAAGTTGCTATCCCTGGTGATGCTTCTTATTCAGTTTAATTACATATTAATCAAGAAGGGAGGGGACAGCAAATGAGAGCTTTACAGAAGACCAGAGTATATTTATTAAGTCTGAATAACTCAAAGTAGAGCTTTGGGAACTCTTAGGTTAATTTAACCAATATAAATAGCCAAACCAAGTCATTATCCAATCTATATTGGATCTTGAATTTATCTGTATCAGATGTCTACATAACCTAACAGGTATTCCAGTTTCACTTCACGTGGTGTTCTTTTACATATAACCTTTAAGGCCAGAAGGTCCTTACAGAACACTGGGGCCAGAACAGAGATCCTATCTAATGCACTGAAAAGATGACGAACAAATAGCAAACTGGAGAAGCATACTGGAGCAAAAATCAGTGAGCATACTGGAGGGCCACCTTTGGCCTTTGATGTTCCTTAGACTACTCAATGTCCAAGGGACAAATTACCAGACCAACCACTGGTAAATTAAAACTTTCTTAGATGAATCCTATCACTTACCAGTTTCTAATAATATTAAAGTAGCACTTCCCTTTTGATAAGGAGGAAAATGTGAATAAAACCATCAGCAAGAGATGAGTCATGGGGCAAAAGCCTTCAGTTGCATGGAGTAGTCTCAAAGCAAGCCTAGAGGAAAGGAAAATGAGAGGGAAAAAAATCTTATTTGGCTGGATTTAACACAGAAGAGAATGAAAGGTTGTGGCATCTGGTTTGCAAAATTTTGATGAACAAAAAGCCCATCTGCTTTTATTATCCTTTTTTCCCCTACTTTTCCTGTCTCCCCACTTTACTATTTTTCTCATTGAAAAAACAATCAGTCCCACTTCCTTAAAAAAAAAAATAACTTGGCCCCCTTGTTTAGAAGCTATTTTTCTCATGCAAGCCATGGAGGGGGGGAATTACATTTAATAGAAAATGCCTTGTTTTCAACTATCTTAAATTTGAAGCCATAGGAGACTGTAATTAAAATTACTATCAAAGATCTAGAGATTGGGTCTAATTCTGTGGTCTTTAAGAAATCAGACTTGTGCTTGGATGCCCCGGAATATTTAGACACCATAACATTTTAATGGCTATAAAGACCTCGTGTCATTATTTACCTTGTATTGGTTTACAGCAATTCGTAGTCACAGTTACCAACATGTATGCTGTGAGCCTATTATTACAGTGGCAAACTAGGGAGAAAACACTAAAGCCACCATTCAAACCTGGTTACCTACTAAATATCATTAGTGTTCACTGAGTAATATAGAGGAACTTTGGGCAACAGCAATTGCCTCTTACAAATGCCATTGTTTCGGATTATCATTCTATACCAAGCATACCAAAATTGGCTATTTTCAAGGAATGTGGCTTTTCATTGTAAGCTTTGTGATGTATATGGTCATGAGATTAGAACTTTAGCTGAGCTGATCTTGGATGAAATACAACATAACTGTGCTAATAAGGGAGACAGTACACAATGAGGCACTTTCTTGAAAAGTACTAATAATGTTTCTGGTTGACTATAGTCAGTAGCTGCATGTTTTCTTTAAAAAAATGGAAAATGAAAGATTGCTACCAAGTTTAGTATTATATGACCCCTTATTATGAAGGTCATAGAGATAAGTTGTCTAGATGAGACAGGTTTCAAGCTGCAGCTTCATTTTATAATAAGCAAATTTGAATTTCCTCATGTCATAGTCACATATCAAAAATATAAGAGCTGACATTGAAGTAGTGTGTTCAGGTTTGCAAAGGTCCATATATATATATTCACCATACCTCATTTTATTCTCCCAACAACCCTGTGAAGTAAGTACTACTATCTCCATGTTACAGATGAAGAAACTGAGACTTCAAAGTGGCTTGCCTGTGGTTTCAAGTCAAAATTATTTTTGGATAACTCCCTTCTTCCCTTTTTTGGGTGGTGGGATTGAATTGAATAATTGTTTTGTTTCACTAGTAACAGGAACTACTACAAAGGTACTTGGATTAAACTATGGTTTTTTTGTAGGCAATTAAGAAAAAAATTTTATTGCCTTTCAATTTGAATTCAACAGCAACCTGGTTTAAAAATTGTCTTTTTAATTTCATTGTTTTTTTCTGATAGATACTATTTAACTAAATTACACTTGATTTCATTATTTATTCTTGCATATTGATGCCTTAATTTTATGGTACTCTAACAATTTTTATTAAGGAAACAACACATAAAAAAGTAAGAGCAGAATATTCTATAAAATCTAAATCATTTCTGCATTGAATAATAGGTACTATTTTGAGACATTTATTAGCTTATTTTTCATTGTAAATGCACAAAAAACTTTCCAGGCTTTGGAAAAACAGAAACACATTTTCTTGTCTCCAGTTGGCTCAGGTATAAACATATTTTTCTTTAAACTTACTACAAGAGAAATTTGCAAGTGGTTCAATTAAAAAAGCCCCAACCCTTTTTCAGCTATACTAGGTCATCCTACTTCTTTTCTTAAACTTTATGGTTCAATGAAATAAAGCCATTAAAAAAGTTATCCTGTCATCAAATATATTTGTTTTGCTTTCCAACATACTTCTTAGGTATAAGTTTTATCTTGTTTTTAGTATTTACCTATTTGTGAAAACTCTTCCAAAAAACTTTAATCTTTGGTATTGTCTTAAAGTTTATCAAATGATAGCTCAGAACCTTTCCTGTCAAAATTGAAATTGTCCCTTTCCACCACTGTGGCCATAAATGCCCTACATGACATGTACTGTTCATTTCTTCTTCATATTTTAGGATATTTTTCAACTGATAGGGTGAGGGAGGTTTTGCATTTCTATGATAAAAATCTTCTCTGTCTTTGATTTTTCAGTGCATTTCCCCTGTGATTTATTATTATATTTCTTCATGGAATTGATTTAGAGAATCTTAACTTACCTTCAAATGGTTCAGATTTCAATTTCTGTGACTAGGAGTTTCTTCTATTGTTTTTGCTTAAGAAACCAACACTTGCCCTTCAATGTAGCTTAAATAAGATAAACTGTTTCAGCTTTTCAGATTAAATTGTATTGTCATCAAAGGAATGGTTCCAGGAGTTACTTCTACATGTTTGAAAGGAGAAAAAAAAACCCCAAAAAACCAAAACCTCTCCACTGCTCATTTAGCATTTTACACCAATTTGCTTCACCAGTGTGATTTCTAGAAGCATAAAATTTCAGAAATAAATGTATTTATTTTACATTACTAATAGAGTAAATTGGTATTTATAACATTAGCTTAATTTCAACATTTTAACAAGAATTAAAAAGTGTTACCTTAATAATTATGGACTCAAAAGGTTCTAACTTTTGCAGCCACTCAAATTAGAAAAGGAAAACATCTCTAATTAGGCAGCCAGTAGTGGAAAGACACCAGTGTATAGAAACAGGAATGCCTTTCCAAAAGTTTAGGAAAAATTAGATGTGGGTCTACGCTAATAAACTTACCAGTTTTTCAAGATATGACCATACTTCACATTTTCTAATGGGGAAACACTGGACTATTTGAATCTTTTAAGAAGTACAACCCAAAGATATAAAAGGGGCCTAGATTTTCTTCCCTACATGGATTGTCCATATACAGCTACTATCCTGAGTGAAACGATTTTTAATTTTCTTACTGGAAAGGATACATTTAATTACAAGGCTGAACATCAAGGTAAAGTGACATTGCAATTCAGTCAATCTTGGAGAACAAGCTAGGTCCAAAACCTTCTGTGAAGCTCTGTCCTTATGTTTAATAACTAGGTTAGGTGAGCCTGCATAAAAATGTTGTTCTCAAAGATGTCCCAATCTGCTTCCCAATATTTAATCTACTGTATACAACCAGCACATAAGTCTGCATGACAGGGTAGGAAATGATCGATTTGTCACCACTTTCAAGCAGGCAACAAATAAAACTCAAAAGGGAATTTCCCTGTTCTAATCCTAAATATTTTAGTTAATACAGTAGGACTAGATTTCCAGAGGTGTCAGTAAATAAAAGTGCAATTAGGAAATTTCAGCCCCTCCCCTAAGTTTGCTAAAAATTGTTTGATACACTTAGGTTTGTCTCCCATAGACCTCCCACTCCCACCCTCAGTCCACGTCAGGCTGAATAGCCTTCAGGTTCAAGCCTGTTGCCCAAACCAAGCTAAATATAAGACACTGAAGGAAAAAAAAAAAAGAAAAGAAAACAATACTTGGAGAAACCTAAGCTTTTTGTAAAGCCATTCGAAGATAGAAATGATCACATGAGACTGACTCAGTGGGATCTTCCCCAAGTGACCCCTTGTTAATGTATTTATTTTCACACTGCAGTCGCAGAAACATTTCATGCTGGAGCCCCTGCATGGAGCCAATGACAAGAAAACACTTTATTATAATAATAATTATTATTTAACAAAGCTATTAAATAACCTGTACACAAAAGCTCATTCCTGTCCCAGCAAAAGCCATAGCATTTAGAAGCCTCCAAATTGTTTCAGACTTGAGCTGCTTT